GGAGGCAGGCGGGCGGCGGGATGGCTGGCGCGCCGCGCAGCCACGCTGCGGCCCGCCTCACGCGTGCGGGAAGGATGCGTTGATGAGCTGGAAGAAGCGGTTGGCGTAGTTGCGCTCGGGGGCGCTGGCGCCCAGCCCGCGCGTCACGCTGCCACCCAGAGTGAACACCTGCGTGCGCCGTGGAAGCGGGGCGGGCAGGAGCAGGGCTGGGAGCCTAGGGGGCTGTGGCGCCGCCGTTTACACGGCACCGCGAAGCGGTTGGCTGGGCCTGGGCATGCAGGCATTGGAGGCGCCCTTGCTTGGCTGCAGGCGGGTGCAGGCAGCGCCAGCCGGGGCAGCTCCACGCTGGCACTGCGCCCTGAGCTCGGCGCATGCCTCGCTGCTGCATGCCTCGCTGCAGCCTGCCCTGCCCCAGCACGGCTCAGTGGGTATGGGAGGTGTACGCGTGCTCCCACCTGGATGGGCTCCCCCGCCAGCAGCTTGGCGGCCACGCGGCGCAGGCGGGCCGCGGTGCCGTAATAGCCCTCCGCCCGCTGCACCTCCTCGTCTGTCAGGTACGGCTCCCAGGGCAGCTGGTCCTGCGGTAGGACCCCCACCGCGGCGCGCAGCCCCTCCCGTCAGAACACGGACAAGCAGCAGTGCGACAGAGACAAGCAGCAGCAGCAGCGGCCGGGGTAAGGCAGCCAGCACCGCCAGCTGCCTGCGCCACCATCACCGGCGGATGGAGCAAGCAGCAGTGCAAAGCGATGGCCCCACCCGCATGTTGGGCAGCGTGGGCGGCGGCGCGGCGGGGCACGGGTTGGGGGCCTTCACTCGAACGGCTGCTGCTGGCTGTGCTGCTGCGCTCGGCGTGTGCAGGCTGGCAAGTCCAGGGAACAGCATCCTGCCTGCGGGATGGCACGACATGCATGCAGTGACGGCTTGGGCAGGATGCTGCAAAAGGGTCCCTGCCGCCAGCTGCTGGCGGCGGTTGGCGCGGGCGTCGTGGAACCAAGCCTGGCGGCCCGGCGCAGTCAGCGCCCCGATCAGCGTCCTCAGCCATCCTGCAGGGCCTCACCCTGCTCCGTGAAAAGCGCCGTGGTGACCAGAGCGCCTAGCAGGGCGCCCAGCGCAACCCCCCACAAGCTGGGCAGCGCCTTGGGCTTCTTTCCCGACATGCTGTGGGCGCCGTGGCCCTCTGCGGCGGGGCTGGCCGTCAAGCTGTAAACAAGGGCGCCCTCACTGCGGCCGTGCTCCCACCCCATTAGGTCGCCGGGGCTGCTGAGGCAACGCCACGGTTGATACCGAGCAGTTCTGATGGCCGGGAAGGCCCGCAGAGCTCGCCAAAAACAAAAGCCAGCTGCTTTCTTTTTGGCGCCGCCGCCAACGTGGCGGCATGCCGCGGCAGTGCTTGTGAGGGGCAGATCTATGGCTTGTTCGATCATTCCAGATTGCAGCGTGATTCTGATGCTTCTGATAAACTTCCGCAAGGCATAATACCCAAACTACACACATGCATCACAGTCGCCGCTTGGCCACGTGTTCCAGCTGCCGGCGTTGCGGTGCAAGCGGTGTCATCAGCCAGCCATGGGTGTGTGTGACCAGCAGAGCCCACTGAGCATGGTGAGAAAAGGTATGGATCTAGCCAGCGGGCAGGTGCGGAATGCTGTGAAGCAGGCTGCTGATGGGCGGCAGCAGCCGCAAGGCCACAGGCGGCAGCGGTGGCGGGCGGCAGGTAGGTGGCAGCGGCTAGGGACTCCGCCAGCCTCCCAAGCCAAGCGATCGCTTGCCATCTGGCCCTTGCAGGTGCGCGGGAGCAGCCTGGAGAAGGAGCCGGGCAGCCGTGTGACGCGTGGCGCCCTGGCGTGTGCCACACACCCGCCTCCGACGACAAAACCCACCGATGCTCGCGCCTCCTCCATTCTGTGTTCCTCGCCTAGGGAGGGCAGCTCTCGTCTTTCCCCGCCCCTCTGTCCCCGCCCGCATTGCAACCATGTCAGCGGCCTGCGCCTCCCTCTCTCTGCTGCCCGTCCACTCCATCAACGTCCAGCGGCATGCTAGGGACCAGCAGCAGGCGGGCTGGCTGCCCCCGCAGCAGCGGCAACTCCTGAGCCGAAATCGGGCGCCAGAGCAGACGCAATCCAGGTGCGGTTGCTGGCTTGCACCAGCCCCGGGCCCGGCACGCCCACGGAAATCACAAATGCACCACGGCCGGGGGCGGGTGGCGGGGCTGGCTGGCTGGGAGCCCGCGGGGCGCCGGCGGCAGGCCGCCGCTGACGCCGCCAGGTGCCGCGCCACCGCAGTTGGTGCCAGCTTTCCCACAGCTCCGCCAGCTTCTCCACACCATGTGGCTGCATGGCCATTGGATGGCCAGGAGCCGTATCTGGCGCCGCATGCGCCGCACACTCTTGGCGGAACCCTGGCTTGCCGCTGACGCGCGCCTCGCGCACGCCGCCGCCGCTCCCCGTGTGCAGGCAAACCGTGCAGCCCCGCGCCATGTCCGGCGCCGCAGCCGACCTGGCCACCTACCACTTTGCGCAGCGGCACGCGGGCGCCACCAGCGAGTGGTTCCAGACCGCGGTGCGGGAGGTTGTGAAGCACATTGACGAGGCGCCTGTGCTGCAGACGGTGCAGCTGGGCGTCAGCGGCGCGCCGCCGCGCTGCAGCACCTACAGCGTCCACGACAGCGTGGTGGCGGTGCCAGAGGTGAGCAACAGCTGCCGGACTGGCCGGCTGGTGGGGCGGCGGGTGCCTCGGGCTGGCTGGCTGGATGGGGGAGCAGCACCCGCGTGCATCGCATCGGTTGCTTGCACCGCGCAGCCTGGCCGGCGCCTTGCTCCTGCCCGCCTCCGCCACTGCTCCATCCTGACCGCCGCCTGCTCGCCTGCCCCGCCTGCAGCTCTGGCAGGGCATCGCCGAGCACGTGAGCCAGCACTCGCCCGACGTCGTCATCCTGGTGCAGCGGGTGGCGCCGCACGCAGCGGCGGGCTCTCCCCAGGACGCCATGGACGAGGCGGCGGCCCCCGAGCAGCGGCAGCAGGGCGCCGCCGCCCCCAGCCCGCCCGGCAGCCCGCGCCTGCGGTCGGCGGGCAGCGGCGAGATGCGGGTGCATGCCGAGGAGGCGTGCCGCCGCCTGGTGTCGTCGGGCGTGGCAGACGCCATCCTGCTGCACGGCCAGGTCGGCGACTGCTGCGACGGCAGCGGCGACCACCACCACCACCCCCACGCCGCCGCCGAGCCGGCGCGGCAGCAGCCCACGCCCCGCCCCCTGCCCCTGCCCTCCATTGTGCCGTTCAGCCCTTCCAGCTGGGCGCCGCGCCGCGCCGCCGTGCGCACCGCCGCGCTGCGCCCCGTCGGCTCTGGCGGCAGCAGCAGCGCCGCCGCCGCCTCCTGCCAGCACAGCGCGTGCTACTGGGGCGTGGTGGTGCAGTCGCGGCTGCACACGGGCGCCGAGGGCTGCTACCTGCTCAAGACTGTGAAGAACGTGAGCCCCGGCACCGGCTGCACCTGCACCCACTTCTCGCTCACCCGCATCGCGCAGGGCGAGCACCTGGAGCAGCAGTTTGTGCAGTCGTGGCTGCTCTGAGCCGCGCGCCGCGCCCCTTAGTCCCCCTTGACCCTCCTTGCCGGCGCCAACCCTGGCGCCCCTATTCACGGCGCGCGCCTCGCGGCGCGCAGCCAACCAATTCTTTCCACCCCCAACGCCCGCCGTACTGATCGTCGCAAGGTTTTGAACCAGCCAGCCTCCCTGCTGAGCGAGACACTGTTCTTTTCATTCAGCCAGTCCCCTGCTTGCTCCTCACCGCCGCGCTGTGTGTACCTGTTCATTTTCATGCGAGAGCAGCAGCAAACGAACCCCCCTGTGCTTCCCTGTCTCATCAATCTCTTTGGATCCCCCTCTCCATCCAGCACTCTTGTACACCGCCCCGTCCCCGCCCGTCTGGCCGGCTTCCTTATGTTGTGCTGCCCTGAACTGCCCCGCTTGCCCCAACGCTCTCCCTACGCTCTCCGTTCCCCGCGCTCCTGTAACATGAGCGCATGATCCAGTCAACCGTTGTACTCAAACCAGGCGATGGCAGCGGTTGCGGCGTACCCCAGGAGGGACACCGCCACCAGGACGGGCACAAACAGGTCGCGCTCCTCTGGCTCAACATGCTGCCGTTGCTGCTCTGCTGGGGCGGCTGGCTGGCTGGCGGTGCGCTGCTCGCTCCTTGGCGGTGCGGCTTCTTGAGGTGGCTGGCCTTCCTCTGGGCCTGCAGGTGCACAAATGCGTCACAGGTGTGCCTGGGGTGGGTCAGAGGGCGGTGCCGGTGCGGGCGGCGCGGACGGCAGCCCTTGAAGCGGCGCAACTTGCCTGCTCTGCAGAGCGACAGGGGCCGCCTGGTGACTGCAGGTTGCGCTCCCCGTCGGCAAGGCAGGCAGGCTGGCCGAGCTGGAGCAACTGGGCCGCGTAAGTGGGCAGACATGCCGGTCGCTGGCATGCTGCTCTTATCAATCTGCGGAGAGAAAGGCACTGAAGAATGGGATGTGAAAGAAGCGATCAGCAGCAGGGCAGCGATGGCTCCAGGCTTCAGTAGCATACGGCGGCAGCATGTGGCGCAGCGCCGCCCGCCACGCCATGCGCGACGTGCACCTCCGTACATACTTGCTCCAAGTGAAGGTCCTGAAGTGTCTGACGGCTGATTAGTGTTTAAGCACACGCTCATAAGCTATCCGAGCGACACTGGAGCTGCTGCATCTGCCCGGAAACCGCCCACACCTGGGGACCAACATTCCCTTCCACCCTTGGGGTTCACAGGAGCAAAGGCTCCTCCCAAGCCCTGCAGTCCTGTTGCGTCCCCCAGTGCCTGGCCTGATCAACCTAGGACAAAGAAACAGCCATGGAGGGCCAAAATCAGACAAGGGTGTTCACACCCTGCGACGAGAGGTGGGGCGCAGCGTGCGCTGCTGGCAAAAGCAGAGAAACCCAAAGCTGACTGCCGCCGTCCTTCCCCTGCCACCGCCGCCCCGCCTGCTCGGCCCCCCGCCCGTCGACGGCCCTGCGACTCCGCTCCCCGCTGCCTGCCCCGCAGCCACCCCAATGGTGAGCGCCCGCTCGCCTCCCCTCCCACACGTCCTCGAGCTGCCGCCACAGGGTGCCCACCAGAGGGCTGGCTGGCTCGCTTGTAGCAACCTGGCTCATTGGCGGCAACAGCAGCGTCCGGCCGGCAGGTGCCACTCAGCAAGGACTCGGTCGCCTCTGCCGCCCTGCCTGCAGGCTTCCCAAATGACAAGACCGGCAGCCTGCTGACGGCAGTGATCCACATCTTTTGGTGCGACAGGCCTGCCCGCCTGCAGCACGTGTGCTGCCCTCCCTCCCTCATCCAGGCCCCGACTGCCTTCCCTGCCTGCCCGCCCCACCCCGACCATGCCCCCACGCCGCCCTGCCCTCCTGCCCCCGCCCACACCTGCAGCGCGGTGGTTGGTGCCGGCGTGCTGGCACTGCCGCGCGTGGTGGCTTGGCTGGGCTGGGTGGCGGGCCCCATTTGCACCATCCTGTCTTCGGTGTGAGCGAAGGGCCCAGATGGCCTGCCGCGCCCAACTTGCGTGCCTGGTGTCCGGATTCTCATGCCGCTGCTGCGCATGCCAGCCACCGACGCGCCGCATGCCTGGCCTCCCCGCGCCTTGGCGCAGGGTGCAGCTGACGTCCTCGCGGTGCGCATACCTCGGTTAGACGCGTGCCCCTCCTCCTTGCGGCCTGCAACTGCACCGACGGGGCAGCGGCTGGGCACCGCCCGGGCGCCTGCACCTGGCGCCCCCCGTCCCCCCAAACACACACCCCGCTCCCCCCATCCTCTACTGCTGCAGGATGCTGGCCATGGTGTATTGCGTGAATGGCGTGGAGCACGCCAGGTGGGGGTCGGCCCGCTGGCATGGCTGGCAAGGGGGCCGCAGCAAGCAGGTCGCAGCAGGCGCGGGGCCGCGGGCAGCTGGCGCTGTGCGCACTCGTGGGCCCGCAAACACACATGCACGGCTCACTGCTCAGCCAAGGCGTGCCCGCTGCCGGTACCACCTGCCGCAGGTACCACCACGCCGTGAAGCACATCATGGTGAGGGTCCAGCCCAGCCTGCCAGCCGCCGAGGCAGCCCGCCAGCGGTCCATGCGGGCGCCGGCACTGCCCGCCTCCCACCCCACCATGATCTGCCTCCTGCAGGGGTGTGGCGGGGCGATCGGTGTCACCATCTTCCAGCTGACCAACATCGTGCTCATCACCATCGCATGTTGGCGCCCCTTGCCCTGCCGCGACGCATGCCGGCAGTGCACCTTGTTTCGCCAGCGTGCAGCCCACAGGCGCAGCCTCGTTTCGCCCCCTGCTCAGCTCCTGTCTTCTCTCTCCCTGCCTTCCTGCCCCCACCCTACCCCCACAGACACCATCACGGGGGCGCTGTCCCTGAAGACCATAGCCACCATGTCATGTGAGGTGGGGGGCGTCGCCCCCGGCGACTGCTTCAACGAGAGCTGGAAGCTGACCCTCATCTTCAGCGCCGGCGAGGCCATCCTCAGCCAGGTGGGGGCCGCCCAGACCCGCCGCACCGCATCGCGTGCCGTGCGCTGAGCGCCGAGGCGTGGGATGGGGCCGCACCTGGGCCCGCCAGCCACGGCAGCGGTCCTGCAATGATGGGCGGCTCCGGCGACTCGAGCATGGCGCCCCTGCACTGGCCTCCCCTGGAGTGCCGCCACGCCTGCGCGGCACCGGGCCCCCGCAGGTGCCCAGCCTGGAGGCGGCCTGGTGGGTGTCCTTCATAGGAGTGGCCACCTCCCTCTTCTACTGCGTGGTGGCACTGGTGCTGGGCCTCATCTACTGTGAGCGCCGCGCGGCGCATGGCGCTGTGCAGTGCGGCCTGCCGCGGCCCAGCAGGCGGCATGTGTGTGCCCGCTCGGCTTCCGGCAGCTCCCCGCATGCTGTGCTTGGCACTGGCCGTGAGCTGAGCTGGGCTGTCCGCTTTGCTGCTCTTGTGCGCAGCGGGCAACCACCTGGGCAGTGTTGGCGGCATCCAGGCCAACAGCGTGAACAAGGCATTTGGGATTGTGAGTGCCCGCCTGCCAGTCGCGCGTGCGCAGCTTCTTTTGCATGTGGGTCGACGGCCTGACCTCTGACCCATCAGCACTGCTGTGCTGGCGCCCACCGCCGCCCTGCAGCTCAACGCGCTGGGTGGCGTCGCGTTTGCGTGAGTTGCAGCAGAGCAGAGCAGCAGGCAGAGGGCGGCGCAGACAACGCTGCGCCATCACTGTGTGATGCCTGAAGCAGGGATCACCGCCTGCGCAGTCCACACGGCATGAAGAGGCAGCAGTCGACTCACCCCTGGCTGCCTTCACCCCCTGTCTCCCCTGCCCCTGCCCCTGCCCTCGCCTCCCTCCTCCTGCAGCTACTCCTTCTCCCTCATCCTGCTGGAGATTCAGGCAGGTGGTGGCGACCCAGCCCAGCCACTCGTGTCAGCCCGCTTCTCTGAGCCACACGGCACACGCGCACCACCTGCCTGCGCGCTGCTGCTGCACCTCAACGGCTCTGCGCTGCTGGCTGCCACCCCGCCGCTCTGCTCCGAGCTTGCAGGACACGCTGCGCCAGCCGCCGTCAACGGTCAAAACCATGAAGAGGGCGGTGGACATCGGCGTTGGGGGTGAGGCGCGGCCCGCCTGCTGGTCGCCCTCCCCCCGCCTCCCCTGGCTGCTGCCGCCGCCTCCCAAACCAGCCTGCCTCATCATCTGCAGGTGCCTTTGTGTTCTACTTCACTGTGGCAGTTGCCGGATACGTGTCTTTGGGCAACGGTGAGCGGGGCCTGCCAGTCAGTGGCGCTCCCGCTGCCTGCTGCGGCCAGCAGGTTGGATGGCTCACCCTCAGGCCGGGCCCCGTTACGGGTTCTGAGGCTTGCCCTGGCCTGGCTGAGTGCAGATGTGCCCAGCATGGTGCTGGCTGGCTTCCCCAAAGCGCCCACGGGGCTTCTGATTGCCGCCAACGCCGCCATCATGTGAGGCGCCCGGCTTGCACGGCCGCCGCCGCACATACCTGCCGGCCTGGGTGCGTTCAGCCACTCGCTGAGGTGGCATGCTGAGCTAACTTACTTGACTGCAGGCTGCACATGCTCACTGCCTTCCAGGTCTTTGCGCAGGCAAGTGCAGGCCGGGAAATGCTGTTGGGCTCATCTGGCCACAGCAACACACCGAGCGGCACTGTACAGCTGGCCCAGCAACCTCTGCCACTCCCCATGCTGATCCTGATCCCACTCTGCTGCCCTGTTGTGGACCCCACCTTTCACTGCTCAGCCTCTGTTTGAGACGGCGGAGTCCCACCTGAAAGCCTGGCGCCTGCGGCGGGCTGGCGTGCGCCCCACCGGCGCCATCACCGACGCCGAGAAGCCGCGTGGCGCCGCTGGTGGGTGCCTGGCAAGGCTGCCGGCCTGTTTGCAGGCGGGACGATGCATGGGGCTGTTTGCAGATCGGCTGGCGCCAGCATCCCCTTCACAAGCTGCAGGTGTTGCCCCCTACCCTGCGCCCCCTCCCCCCGGGCCAGCCCCCGGCACGGTAGCTGATGCCACCGACGAGCAGGCGGTGCGCGACAGGCTGGTGAGGAACACGGCTCCCCACCCCACCCTGCGCCCAGGTGAGCCCAAGCCGCGCTGGCCAGCAACAGCAGAGGCCGGCGCCTGCTTGGCCCAACGCCTCTGCGCAGCAGTGCCTGCATGCTCGCAGCGACATAAGCCCACCCTTGCGCACCTGCGCCTTACACCCCAATGCTGCGCCGCATGATCTGCAGAGGGCTACCAGGCGCCCATCCGCATCAGTGCCCGCGCCAGCGCCGGCGGCAGCAGCCTGGGCCGCCAGAGCGCCTTCGGTAGGCACGGGTCGCAGCTCAGGGTGCTGCGTGCCACCCCCACCGCACTCCCCAGCAGCAGCTCTCCCGCTGGAAGCCATGGCTGCCTGCGCTGCGCCGCCTGCGTGCAGGCGAGACCCTGCACCGCCTGAGCCAGACGGTGGGCATGTACCATGTCGACACAGGCCTCACCAACGGTAAACACACAGCAGCAGCAGGAACATGCTCCCCGCCGCTCGCTGCTGGTCGCCTTCACTCGCCCCACCCCTGGCTGTGCTGCAGAGGCGGTGCCTCTGAACGATGACAGGTACCTGCTGCCCTTCTGGCAGGCAAGCTGCTGGCGCCGCCGAGTCAGCTCAGCGACACGTGGCACCACCTGGGCCACCTTTTCCAGCAAGACCTGAACTGCCTGCCAGTAGGCTGCTCTGATGCCTGCCCCCAGCTGTTCCGCACCTCTCGGGTCCTGCATTGCATGCCCCACCGCGGGCCTGCCCTGCCCGCTCGCCTCCCCCCTGCTCGCCGCGCAGCGCCTCGTCCTGCGCACCACCTACGTGGGCATCACATGCATCATCTCCATCGTGCTGCCCTTCTTCAGTGACATCGTGAGAGAGGGCTGCTGGCGGGGAGAGGGAGAGAGGAAAAACGCGGCTGTGTTCTGTTGGCTTGTGAGCTGGCCGCGAGCCCTGCATGGGCGCAGTGCGAGTGAGGGTGCCTGCCCCCTTTCTTGCAGGTGGGCCTGGTGGGCGCGCTGACCTTCTTCCCGCTGTCGGTGTACTTCCCGTTCAGAATGTACAACATGTGAGCGCATGGGCTGCGGCTGGGGGGTCGCCGAGCGGCTGCTGCGGTGGGGCAGGCGGCTCAGCCTCTTTTTTCTTTGCGAATTGCCGCAGTGTCTACCGCCCCGGCGGCCTGGTCAAGTGGGTGCTCCTGGTGACGTGCATCTTCATGTTCTTGGTTTGCGCCGCCGCCACCGTGGCAGCGATGAGGGGCATCATCAACAACTGGACGCACTACCAGGTGCGGCGAAGCGCAGGCGCGTGCCTCCCTGCTTCGTATTAGCGCGCTGCAGATGCCTCCTTGTGGGCATCCCGCTGCCGCTGCTGGGGCCGCGCCGCAGACGCCCCGCCGCCCGAAGCCGCTCCCTGCAGATCTTTGGCGACTGAGCGCTGCTGCTGCCTTGCGTCACCGCGGCGGCCAGCACAAATTTCCGACCTTGGCGCCGCCGCATCGATGCATATTGCTGTCGACAGGCTGTGAGCTCCCCCAACCCTCCCATCACTCCCTCGCCCAGCTGGCAATGCTTTCTGTTCATGATCATCACACCCTTCCACCCACCCGCTTGAAACTCAACCAACGCCAGACCAGCCAAGCAGCCGGCCACCCCCTCCATGCAACTCGTGCTGCACGTTTTGCCACCTGACGATGCAGCCGCTGCCACTTTTGCTTTGAACCGTGCATGTAAATGAACTCATGGATACGCATAAGGAAACGCAGAGGAAATGGCAGCAGGCAGCAGGAAAGGATGCGGGGGCGGGGAGGGGCAGTCGAGCAAGGGCAGCAGTGGAGCAGCAGCTGGAGCGGAAACAGAGCGGGAGCTGCAGCACGGCAGCACGCCGAGCGGCTCAGCGTTGCTGCCGGGGATGGGCCTTGCGCGGCCTTCACTTGCCTCCTTTCGCATCCGCCACCCAGAGCTTCTTCAGCCCCTTCTTTGCCGCCGCCTTGGGGCCCTCGCGTGACACCTTCGTCTCCACTCTGTCGGCCACCGCCATCGCCTTTTCCAAGCTCTTGCGCTTGCGCTCCTTCTGCTTGCTGCTTCTACTGCCGCGCTTGGCTTGCGGCTGCTTCGCCCGCGGCTGCCTGGCGCGGGCTGCTGCCGCAGCGGCTTCCCCCGTGTCCATCGCTGCGGAACAGGGAGGGCGATGGTGAGCTGGCGCGTGTTTGTGGTGCAAGATGTGCTAGCGTTCTGCATGGGGGGGGGAAGCCCGCGCACCTATAAAGTCGGCAGCTTGTTCCGGCGGACCGGTTTGCCACTCGGCAGCGCCGCCGCCGCCGCCGCCCGCCGCCGCGCCGCCATCCTCGACGTCCATGCCATGCTGCTGCTGGCGCTGCTTCTTTCCACCTGCACCGCACATGAGGCACGCGCTGTTGAGCAGCCTGGGGCGGGCAAGCGGTGTGCGTCAAATTTGCTTGTGGGGTGGCGGCTCACGGTGCTTGCCCATCGAGCCTGGGGGAGAGTGCCCCAATCCTCGCCCTTGCGTTTGGGGTTTGGGGCGGTTCTGCGCGAGGTGCCTTTCCTACGCTTGCTGACGTGTCGGCGCCTTGCGCTGTCCAAAATTGCGCTAAACCCACAACCCCCCTCACACCTTCGTTTGCAACCCACCCACTTGTGATTCCCCCACTTGTGTGTGGCCAATACGCCGCCCTGTGCCCCTCACACACCAACTTCGGTTCAGTGGGAAACTCGCCAACACCAGAACCAAAAAACTAACTCTGGGGTGAGCACTCCAGGATGTATCAATGCAGATCTGAGAGCGAGGGAAAGGGTCGGTTCTGGGCCCGGCCAGACCTCTACAACACACCGACAAACTACTGCCTGCGCTGCAGGCCTTGCAAGCAAGGCTGTTGTGCATAGCATCGCCGTCCAGTGATGGATGAGGACGAGGCAACAAGACTAGGCGTGTTGGAGCGTCTCCAAGCCACCGGGCGGCCGGCCACCGCGGAGGACCTGGCCAGGTATTCTTGAGAGCCGCGGCGCCCCCTCACTGGGCCGCATGCACTTCCTGATTGCCCCTGAAGCAAAATACGCCCGCATGGCCCGCCATGAGACTCCTCCCACCAGCCGCCAACCATCCGCCGTCGCCGCCCGCACGCCTACCACCGCCCCGTCCCCCGCCTGCCTGCAGCTCCCTGGGCATCCCTGGGCGGGTTGTGGTCGGCCTGATGGAGCGGCTGGTGGCCCAGGGTGTGGCGGAGGAGGTTCCGGCCAACTCCTCCCAGAGCCCCACCTACCGCCTGGTGCAGCCGCGGCGCCGCGCCCGCAACGGCAGCGGCGGCGTGCAGCCCAAAGTGGGGCGCCCCGGCCCCATGCACAGCCCCACCGCCGCCCACCAGGTGCGCACAGCCGCGGACGGCCAGCCAGGCCGGCCGCGCGGCCACGCCTCAGCCAGGGGCAGCCGGTGCGGCTACGTCCCCGCGCGGGCGCATAGTAGCTTTGCTGGCATGTTCCGGTGACGCCCGCCGCCCGCAGCCGCCAGGCCCCACCCCGCCCGCCTGCCCCCGTGCCCCCTGCAGGCCGCCCAGCAGCACCCCTACATGGCAGGCATGGTGCCATACGGCTATGCCCCCTACCACGGCCAGCAGGTGCTGTACTACCCGGCAGGCATGGCGCCCTTCCAGCAGCAGCCCATGCCCGCGGGCGCCCCGCAGTGGCACCGCCCAGGCATGCCTGGCGGCGCGCGGCCGCAGCAGCAGCAGGCCGGCGGCGGGCCTGCGGGCGGCATGGGTGTGGGGCCCATTGGGGTTGCGGGCCCTCAGCACATGGGCTACCCCATGCAGCCATACTATTACGCGGCGGCGGGGGCGCCCATGCCCCTGCCGTCCAACGGCCAGCCGCGCCCGGCGCCCATGCCGCGCGCCGCCAGCGGCAGCAGCGGCAGCACCGGCTGGGGCGGCGTGCCGCTGTCGCAGTCGTCGGCGGAGGTGATGGTGGGGGCGGTGCCCAGCCCGCGCAGCACGCAGAGCATGCAGAGCGCGCAGGAGCTGCCGCCCGCGGGCAGCTCCCAGGAGCTGCCGCTGGCTCGCTCCAGAGCTGCCAGCAGCGGGGTGGGAGACAAGGAGGAGCCGGCTGTGGTGGCGGCAGCGCTGGCAGCGGCAGAGGGCCAGGCCAGGGAGGCGGTGGCGGTGGTGGCTGTGGCGCAGCAGGCGGCGGCGGCGGCGGAGCCCGAGTCAGCATCGCAGGCGGGCCCCAGCAGCACAGAGGGGGGCAGCGAGGAGGACGGGGATGCGCAGCAGCTGGCCGGCTCGGTGGCGGCGGGCAGCATCAGCAGCAGCGGCGGCGAGGGCGCCGTGGCCGCGGCGGGCAGCGGCCGCCGCACCGGCAGCTCATCCGGCGGCAGCAGCGGCGGCAGCCGGCGCAGCAGAGGCAGCCGCGAGCGCCAGCCCTGCGCCTTCTTCCTTAAAACAGGCACCTGCGCGTACGGGGACAGGTGGGCGGGGCGGGGCGGGCGCCTGCTGCTGCTGCCGCGCCAAGGGCTCCTTGCTCAGCTCACTCACCAGCCCACATTTCAGCCAGACGCCCAACCCCGGGCGGCCGCGCGCCTCTCCCTGCTTGGCCCTGCTCATCCCAACCCTCACCTCACCTCCCCCACCCCACCCACCCCACCCACCCCCTCATCGCAGCTGCAAGTTTGCGCACCCCTTTGACAAGGCCCCCAAGGTTGAGTTCAACTCGCTGGGCCTG